CTTGTTTGAATTTTTAAGTAAAATCTATTTTGATCGGAACTTCTAAAAATCTGCCTTAGTTCATTATTCTTCTTTGATAGCTTATAATGAGCTTTAAAATATAATTCATAAAAATTGCAGTTCTTTATGAAATGATATCATTGGAATGATTTTGTATGTGCCTAAAGATTATCTACTTTATTAAAACTTAATAAGAGGAGGCAGACTCAGTGTAGAGTAAATTTCAGATAAGTTTGGTTGGATGATATTGATGATATTGGCTGAATTAATTTCTTCTCACACAGTTACTACTATGCTCCTTTCTGTCTGTTACTGAATTGTCGCCTTGCAAATTACTTGCTTTATTTTTATTTCTTTGGGTGTCTCTTTTTTTACATTTTCTTTTAAATATGTTGTATAAAATAGCACAGTGCTGGAAAGGCAGATTTCCATTATCCTTCTTTCTCATATATGAGAGTATTAATTTGATATCGATTTCAGAAGCCACAGTTGTATCTCCATAGCAGTAAAACAATCACTGAAATAATAATAATATAATTTAGTAAACAAAAGAAAAAGATTGGACTCAATTTCTTATCTGAAATCAAGTCAATAAACATGTATGTCAGCGTCCTTCTACTACATTAAGGGAGAACTTAGTTGGCTGCTAACAAGATACAAATCTTACTGTTAGTGTGGACCATAGTGATTTTATCACTTACAATTGGGTTGAGGCACTTGCTTATCTAGTTTAAACTTTGCATTCAGTGTTCTACTAGGGGTATAGACAAAGGGCTGTGGGATCAGAGAGGTGACAGTTCTTCCAGGTAACCAACCAGGGATGGCAAGGAAGGTTTTAGAGAGGAGATTAGATTTGGGCTGGCTATGGGACACTGAGTAGGACTTTACAGAGAAAATGGCGGTGAGCACCACAGAGGGAGGAAATAGGGAACATAAACTCTCTGAACATGAGTGCGCAATAATTCCTGGATATATGCTTGGAAAGGTAAGTTGGACCTTATGTGGAAAACTCTGTTGAAGAATCTAGTCTTTGCTTTGAAGGTTACGTGGGGCCATCAGAGGGATTTATGCAAGGGAATTACATAATCATATGTTTTATGAAAGTGGATTATGTGAAATTTCACAAAAGACCCAAGAAGAGGAATAGGTTTGTGAATACAGATGATGAGTTTGTCATGGGACATATTTAATTGATCTAACCATGGAAAACACAAATGAAGGTATTCAGGCAATTGGAAATGAATATCTATTCTGGGAGAGATATACTATTTCAAATTCAATTTCTACCATTAATGCTCATGTATTGTGTAAATATTTCTATAGTATTTATATATGATTATTGTTTAATGCACGTGTTCAATAAATATTGATTCAAAACATTATGATGGCTGGGCATAGTGGCTCACACCTGTGATCTCAGCACTTTGGGAGGCCAAGGCAGGTGGATTGCTTGAGGCCAGGAGTTCGAAACTAGCTTGGCCAACATGGTGTAACCCTGTCTCTACTGAAAATAGAAAAAAAAAAAAAATCAGCTGGGCGTGGTGGTGCATGCTTGCAATCCGAGCTACTCTGGAGAATGAAGTAAGAGAATTGCTTGAATCCAGGAGACGGAGGTTGCAGTGACCCAAGATTGCAACACTGCACTCGCCGCACTCCAGCATGGGTGACAGAGTGAGACTCTGCCAAAAAAAAAAAAAAATATGAGGACACGTAAGAAACATAGTTAATTTTATTGAATTTGTGAAGGTGTGTGAGTCAGAGGGTGTCAGTGTCACAGATTTGTTGAAGTTTTCTTTGGACCTTGAAGAATGATTGGAAATATACCTGATAGGTATACGATAATGACTGAAACAAAATTGGTAGTGACTCGTGGTAGAGGCTAAATAGAAGCTGTGAACTGAGGCAGCAAAATAATAAACTTACAAAAATTAGCTGGGCACGGTGGGTTGTGCCTGTAGTCCCAGCTGCTCAGGAGGCTGAGGCAGGAGAATTGCTTGAACCCAGGAGGCGGTGAGCTGAGATCACACCACTGCACTCCAACCTGGGTGACAGAGCAAGACTCTGTCTCTAAAAAAACAAACAAAAAAATATGGAGTGCATGAAGAATTTACTCTTTTTTTTTTTTAACCTCTCTGTCTGAAATAAATTAGCCTTTCCTTATGCATTGTATTTTAATTTTTAAATTTTTAAAAAATTTTGTGGATATATAGTAGGTGTATGTATTTGTGGGAGATATGAAATGTTTTGACAAAGGATGAAATTTGAAATAAGTACACCATGGAGAATGGGTTACCCTCTCAAGCATTTATCCTTTTGAGTTACAAATAATTCAGTTACACTTTGTAAGTTATTTTAAAATATACAATTGTTATTACTGACTGTAGTCACCCTATTGTGCTACCAAACAGTACGTCTTATTCTATTTTTTGTGCCCATCCTAATGCATTATTTTTGATTTTTGTCAGAAGCCACTGCATCTTATAAACTATATTAGGATTACATGCAAAAAGTTAATTCATCTCATAGTTGCCTTAATATTAGTCATTTTAAAACTCCAATAGATACATGGTGAAAAAAGAATTGGACATTGGTTAATATATTCTCTGACATTTAAAAAAGATAGTGGATTGTAATTTATCAGGAAAGAAAATGTGCTGATGCAGAATATTAACACTTTATTGTATAACTTTACACAAAAATAGAGGACAGAAATTATCCGCAATGAAAACAATGGAATGTTGAAATCTGAACACATATGCCAGTGTTTAGTTCATCTTTTCTGAAGAGGCACAGAAGCCAATAAAGCATATTCAGGAAAATTATTATATGCCTTAAAATGTGAATAAATTTGTCACCATAAATACGTATGCCCTGAAACGTAGAAACTGATTCTGTCTGTGTAACTGGAATGCATTGCCGCTCAGGAATAATGCAACTGATGATCATGGCTTCCCACATCTGTCTGTGAAAGAACAGTTCACCATATCCAGACCGCACTGCTGATGGTACTACAGTTTGCTTCTCTCTCCCCACAGCCTGCATTATTGGAATCATTTGCACATCCACCCATGAAAAATATTAGAGCATTTATGCACATCGGAAGGTGACTGAAGTTCAGAAAATCTAGGTTCTAAAACCAACACTACTAATAGATAGAGAGTTGGCCTTGGGAAAAAATCATTTAGCCCCACCATGCTTGAGTTTCCTCATCTATTAAATAAATTGAAGGAAGTCATGGATCCTTCTGAAATTTTACCTAAAAAGTGTGTATTGGTATATCTTTCCAGGGACAGATCTGTGTTCTGCCAGTTATGGTTCTTGATTGCAAACAAAGAAACCAACTTCATTAAAAGGGATAAAAAATATTTTATTAGAAGGCTTTAGACTCCGAATGCAACTTTGAACAATTAGCTTCTGCAGCAACCTGGGGAAGAAAGTCACTGCCAAGGACCAGTTCCTGCTGCCATCACTTCTGAATGTCAGCCACTGCATGCTGAGCTTCATGGCTCCCAGACATTGCTATGCTGTTGCACTTCCCATGTTGCCCACGGACGCTGTGCCTTTGCTTTCACCCTCAAGAATCAAAGCCCTGACCAAGGGTGTCTGATGTGTCCCTGTTCTTGCTGCCAGGGTATAGGAAGAGGGAGTATCATTGAAGGAGGGAACCCCCTGCCTCCTGCTGAACTTGGAACTACCTCCAAGTAGAGATTAGTCGAAGGTCAGCCAGCACAACACTGTACTGCCATGTCTTTCACCAGATTCTCAAAGGGATCGTGACCCCATCATGTCAGCTAGAAAATATTATGAATCATTACATTAGATTATCTTTAATTACAGCTCTGAAATTATATGATCCTAGATACTAATTTTTCTTTCCCCCATCATCCACAACTCAGAATTTCTTTAACAAGATACAAGTTCAGCAACAGAGTGACTAACAACATTGCAAGGTCAGCCCTGAAGCATCTTGTGATTATTTCAGTGGGTGTGTAATTATGATGGTTGGGCTAATGACAGAGAGTAACAGATGTCTCAGAGCACTGCCACCCAAGTGAATTTCTGGCAAACCAGTAGCGATTCCTCAAACAAAAGAAATTTACTTTCTCATATAGCCTTCTGGTGCTGCATTAGGTGTACATTAAGATGCAATGTGGTTTAATGGTTAGTTGCACAAACTTTGAGGTTAATGAGAATGGATATAAATTTTGAATCTATTTCTTCCTAGCTGGTTCACCATTGGAAAGTTACTTGGCCTCTATACATCTTGGTTTCCTGTTTAGTAAAATGGTTCTAGTCAATGCGTGGTACTGGAAAATGAACTGATGTCATGCGGGGAATTATAGTGTTTTACACATAGTTACCACTCAAGAAATCATGATGAAACTCAGCATAATGGGACTAGTTAAGGGGTTCCCAAACTATGAACCAAATTCATTGCAAAAATATTTATAATTTTAAATTTTAAGATGAGGATAATAAAGATATTTAGATTATGTGCTTTGACATATGTTCTGTGCTAAAATAAGTTCTAAGAATTATAAAACTGATTACAAATAATCACTAAAACAGCACATTGAAACATACCTGTGAATACTTTTTTTTCTCATGGAGTAGTTAGATCCAAGATTAAAACCCTTTAAAATGACCACATTATGCTAAATTATGTCAGTATATATAATGTATTATGTTCAAGGAATCATCAAGCTAAGTTGTATATGAAATAGCCAGAGAGTTTTATAATGGATTTATGCAAAAATGAATGAAACAAAAATTAGAGAATAGCAAATGTGAATGACTTCTGAGACAGCGACTGCCACTTCCACTCCAGACCACCACAGAATTTCTTTTTGAAGTTGGAAATGTGTATTTGTGTAACTATTCTCAGGCACAGACTAGAACTGTTCTAGGAGATTTGGGTTTAATAATGTGCTTGCCTCCTTGAAAGCCTTAGTGATTCTGGGACTCTCCTCATAAGTGTGCACTTTCTTTATACTTTCTAGGTAAATGTGAATGTGGCAAATGCACCTGCTACCCTCCAGGAGATCGCCGGGTGTATGGCAAGACTTGTGAGTGTGATGATCGCCGCTGTGAAGACCTCGATGGTGTGGTCTGTGGAGGTAGTAACCTTTCTCACAGCTGTATGCTACCTGCATGCTTTACCTGCCTTTCTTATTCTACTGACTCTTGCTTTTTCAGTTGCTGTTAAAAATAAGATAAACAGAAAGCAATATACCATTGAACCTAAAAGCAATATACAATTAGGTTTGTAATGACCTTTATTTCCCCAAACTCTTGATTTAGCAGGTATGTGAAAGTACGCAGTACACTATCAATAAAAGATCATTGCATCTAAGTACTAGGATACTTTATGACAGTGAAAGGTTTTGGGGCAGGTCAGCATTTTAACATGATTTTCATTACTTTATTTATAAACACTGGTAGGAGAAAGTATAGTATCACCCACAAACTTGAAAAAATGGAGTAAGATTACACTTAAAAATCACAAGCGGTGTATGCTCAGATTCCATGATGCCTCTCGTACCCAAAGAAGAGCTCACTGGCATTAATAAACTGTCTAGAGAATGAGTGAGGCAGATAGAGGGTAGTGAGCAAAGGTAACCTGCAAAACTGAGAGTCCCGGGAGTAGAGTGCTGATCTGAGCACCTCCATGGCCAGGAATGTGGGTCAACATTATTCTTGTATTGCATTCCTGAAAAAATTCATATCGCTGAGGTTGGTGCATGTGAATTATAGATATTTCCACGTTTCCAGTATCAATGAAAGGAGGTGGACATGGAATCACATTACAAGACAATAATTATATCCCTTTAAGATAATTATTTTGAGGCAGTGGGCACTATTATTGGGGGAAACAAACAGAGTGTGTGTCTTTTCTGACTTTTATTTTAAGTTCAGGGATACATATGTAGGCTTGTTACATAGGTCCTATTGGATGGTGGAGGGTGGGATGAGGGACAGGATCAGGTAAAATAACTAATGGTTAGTAGAATGTGTGTCTTACTGGAAGGCTGAGGCACCATCCATCCATCATTATCTATGTATCTATCTATCTATCTATCATCTATCTATTATCTGTCTATATCAATCATCTATATGCCTGTTCTCTCTCTAACCAACGATAAGACATTTGAAACCTGACAAAAATACTTTCTTCTTTCCTTTCTCTGTGAGTTGAGGGGAAAAGCCCTTTTAACCTGTTTATGCCTGAGGTTAGAATTTTTTGAATTTTTGCAGTCAGACCTTGGTGATGACCTTGAGCAGTAGGATATAAATAACTCCCACATGCTTAGCTTTCCAATAATGGAATACTGGGCATAAATTCATAAAATATCTGTTGTGCTGGGTGGTTTATCTTACGCCATTGTCATGGCAGCCACTCTAAGAGATTGTTTCTACTATTTTTTCTTTCATAAATGAAAAATTGAGTGAGATTGGAGAAGTTAACATCCCATAGCTAAAATGTGGCAGGCCCAGAATTTCAGCTCTGATGTTTAGTTCACAGATTGTTCCTTATGTCACAGTTTTCCCTAGAGTGACACCAAAGTGTTTTCACAATATGTCAATATTATTCTTAGGTTAAATCCTCTATTCAGTGGTATTAGTTACAAGAAATACCTATGTAGGTTTTACTCTGTTTGTTAAGGACGTGACATATATTAACTAATTTAATTCTCATAGCAATATGTATGTATGCATATATACATATACATGTATAAAAAGCTTGCTTGACCCCTCAAAAGTGCCATCTACATGTCTCTGCTCTTGTTGCCAATGTTGTTTTCTTTTCTTTCTTTTTTTTCTTTTTGAGACAGAGTCTCATTCTGTCACCCAGGCTGGAGTGCAGTGGTGGAAGCATAGCTCACTGAAACCTCAAACTCCTAGGCTCAAGCAATCCTCTGGCCTTAACCTACTGAGTATATGGGACTACAGGCACGTACCACCACAGCTGGCTATTTATTTTTTGTAGAGATAGGGGGGCTCTTACTAAGTGGCCCAGGCTGGTCTTAAGCTCCTGGGCTCAAGGGATTCTCTTGCCTTGGCCTCCCAAAGAGCTGGAATTACAGGTGTGAGTTACCAAGCCTGGCCAGGAATGGCTTTTTAATGTTTTTGCTGCCTATTTGTTGCTTTGGAGTAATCTCAATATCTTTCACTTTCATCTTTAGGTCAATGGCTCTCAAAATGATTTATCAGTAATCAGTCATTTTTGGCTTTAGATTCTTTTCAATTTCTAATAAGATATTTTCATATGGATCCTCCAAATTATACATGGTTTAAACTGGAGTAATTATTTATTTCTTCATTAACTAAACAAATATTCATTGAGCATCTACTATTTGCCAGCACTAGAGATTCAGTGGTGAACACAGAGCATTTGCTCTCCTGGAGCTTATTGTTGAGCGTGAAGGGAGGACATTGAGAAAGGAATGAAAAGGAGCTCAGTGATCTGAAAAGAGACTTGATTCAATGGGAATATACATAACAGGGGGATTTAACATAGGCTGAAGACTAAGAAAGGCTTCTCTAATGCCTTCATATCTGGATAACAACTAAGTAATGCAGACTATGTGCTTTACAAGTATTAACTACACCTCACAACAATACTTGATAGTAATAGGATACATGGAAGTTGGCCAGGTAGGGGAAGTGGGGTGCAGTCAGAGAGCAGCTTGTGCTTAGCTGTGTGGGAGAAAAGAGTGTGTGATGTGTGCCAGGAACATTTGAGGACTAGAGAAAAACCCTGTGTGGTTGCAGATTAGAAAACCAAAGGGAAAAGAGTGTGATGTGTTTTGTAAACATGTTGATAACTTGGGGCTTTACTCCAAAGGTGACAGGAAACCAAAGGAAGGGCTTAAACAGAGCTTAAACGTGATCACAGTATTTTAAAAAGCACTTCTGGTTGTCAGGTTGAGTATGGATTGCTGCAAGGACTATGTGTGTTTGTTGGTTGGTAGGTGAATCTGGATGTTAGGAGATGAGCCCTGGTGAGAGACAAAGGTGCCTTAGCTGGATGGAAGACAGTAAAGGTGGAGGATCTTGAATGTGTTGGAGAACATGTTAGAAGCAGTGTGGCCAAGAGGCTAACAAAAGCCTTCACCCTGCTGCAAGAGACTCCACCACTCTGTTAAACTCCTAGCCCTGGTTCCCTGGCAACAGATGAAGATGGTGTGTTTCAGTGTTACCAAGCAACATTGTTCATGGTCATGATGACTTATGATTGATAAGTTTCTACTACCTTGGAAGAGATGATGAATTGAACTATAAGCAGCTGATGGGAACATCATGCTTTTGGATTTCACAAGTGTCATAACTCTGCCAACAGTCTTGTCCCTTGTGGGTTTCCTGAAAGCTATGCTTACGGAATCATCGGGAAAGATTTTGGCTCCTGTTGGGCGTGTGACTTCTTCTAAGCCAGAAAAGCCTCAACATCTGTGCAGTGTGGATCTCATCTCTGTGCATATGGGCTGTGTTATCCCAAGAAAAAATAATCCCCAATTATATGAGTTCATCCTCATGAACTCCTGCAAGGACTCCCATGGGTATATCCTGTTGCCTGACAGTGCCCTGCTGGTAAGATGTGGCTCCTGTCCCACAGCTTTCGAAGGAGACTGGTGGCAAGTGTCAGCCAGAAAGCTTAGGTGAAACTTGGAGCTCCCTCCCCAGAGTACAAGCAGTATTTAAGGAAATTCATGATTGCACAATATGAGGGGCAGGGTAGGATGAAGGGTGATGCTAGGTTTCTGGTTTGAGCAATTGAATGGTGGAGGAGACTATGCTTGTCTTGACCAGTTGTCTCCATTTCTTGAAAAATTGATTTCTTCACAGAGAGCAACAGAAATGGAGAAACTTGGATATGTTGCTCCCTTTGGAACATATCCCTTGGATATATTTGTTCCCTCTCCCTGACATTCTAGTCCTTATTATCACTTCTCCTTGTGAATGACTTCTCATTGTCCTTCCATTCTTCCATGATTTTTCCAAATTATCTCCTTTAGGAAGTCTTTCTGAAATGATGTCCTACTTCTTCTATACTGCACCACCTGCATTGTAGTGTGATGTGGTTGTGTTGAGAGTGTCCCTGTGTCCCTTTTCTTTAAGTCTACAATTCTCATGGATATAATCAATCTCTCTCTCATTCTCATATTGTCAAAGCTAGGATAAAGGTTAATGCTCAATGTTTTTATTTGAATAAATGATCAAGTAAAGGATTCACAATAAGTTAAGGAGAATGAGAAAGGAAGGACTATTCCAGCTTTGGATACAGGATTCTTCAAGTTGAGGTTAGGATGTTATTCGAACTTTGAACAGCTAGTATTTAGATGTGCAGAAATAGGATGTGAAGAACATTTTAGGCCTGGAAAAGCAGAGCAAAAGCACAAAGGTGAAAGATATTTATTAGATACTGAAGGAATGTATCTATTTCATTTTTTTTTTTTTTTACATCAAGAGCTCTTTCTCAGCTGCTTCTGTACCCGTCATTAGAAAGGATTTTTTTTCACAGATTACTTACTCGTGTCATTTATAATACATATTTTGTACCTTCATTTATTATACTTGGCTCATCTTTAGATATCAGGTCTTTAAAAATATTGTTAAATTAATGTTTTTGCTTTCAAAATTAAAGAAAATAAGTAGAGAAAAATGGAAACAACAAAATAAAAATCACCCATTAATTGATCATCCTAGAATAATAAATGATGACACTATGTTGTGTTTCTTCCTAGGTTTTATTTCCGAGGAGTAAAGTTATTTTCAAAATGTAAGTTCATAAATCTTCTTTGGGGCCAGGCATGGTGACTCGCGCCTGTAATCCCAGCACTTTGGGAGTCTGAGGCAGGTGGATCACGAGGTCAGGAGAGAGAGACCATCCTGGCTAACACGGTGAAACCCTGTCTCTACTAAAAATACAAACAATTAGCCAGGCATGGTGGCGGGCGCCTGTAGTCCCAGCTACTAGGGAGGCTGAGATAGGAGAAGGGTGTGAACCCAGGAGGAGGAGCTTGCAATGAGCCGAGATCGTGCCACTGCACTCGAGCCTGGGTGACAGAGTGAGACTCCATCTCAAAAAAATAAGAAACAAACAAAAAATAAATCTTCT